GGGGGGAGGTCACGCTCCGCAGACGGCCGACCCGGACACACGGTGGCGGCGGCGCATATCAATGGCGCGCGGGACGGACCCGGCCTGATTGCGCGTCCAGGCCACGTACCGGGCTCCCGGCAACGTCCGCCTCCCCTCCGGGCCCGGGCACCGGCTATATGTACCCGGTGCCGGCCGGCCGCTCGTCCCATTCCGCCGTCGCCGCCGCCGCCGCCGTCACCGTTGCCGCAAACAAACGTACACGCGCAACACGACGCAAGATGATGGCTCCTCACCGTACCGCCGCGACCGTTCTGCTGGCCGTCGCTCAACTGGCGTCCGCCTACGTGGTCCCCGAGGGTAAGTCGTCCGCACCGATATCCGCAAAAATGTTCGCTTTGGGAAACGATCACTACTGAACCGTTTGCCCTACGAATTTTTAATTTTTTTTTTTTTTTTTCAAACGACGTCCCGGTGTGGGTTCGTAAATGGTTCTGGTTCCACGACTTGACCAACGTTATTTTTCGGTTCGGTTAAAAAAAAAACATTTAAGTTCTTATAATTTTTACACTGCTGGACGTCTCAAAATTGTTCGCTCGTAGGTACTTGTAGGTTTTAATTTGCTTCAACTATTTCGTTTGCCATAAAGGAATTAGCCACATTCAAGAACGGTACTTTGATTTACAATTCGAAGTGGTATTTATTCCCTTAAACCTTTTGAATGCTTTTAAAGCGTAGAGCTTTGACGCTTTATTGTCCGTACGAATTTCCTATAGTTTCGAACCAAGCACAATCCTTTATTTATGTTTGTCCTCCAGAAACGTCATTACATCAAACATCAATAACAAATCGTAAAATAAATTGAAAATACCATATAGTAGTTGTGTTACCCAAAAAATTTTAAAAATGTAACCATCAAATAAATCAGTCTCTTTAAGTTTGACCGAACACTGAACAATTTAATCGATAAAGTCGTTTTTAACAGTTATGATCGTTTGTAATATAAAACAAAAAAATTTGTTTTTCTTTTTAAGAACTTCTATTTTTGGGAATGTAAATTTAATTTTCAATTGAAAAATAAAAGCAAATTAAAAACCGAGCGCCAACATTTATCGGTTGATATTTTTCATGATAATTAACGTGTGTAAAGTATATATTTGTTTAATCAGCTATAAAATATCGAACGTAACCTATACGAATTTTAGCGTACACCTGCACATTTTTACAATATTAAAAATGTTTTGTTTCCTACGACTAATACCCGTTTGAAACGATTGGTGCGAGTTATTTCCCCGCGAAACCGTTATTTACCCTTCCGCGCTGATATTTCCATCGCCATAAGCCGATGCGCGGAATCCGCTAATTTCTGTGTGTGTTTTTTTTTCCTCCTCGGTTCGCCGCAGTGGTCCTGATGAGGGTGAAGCGCAGCGCCGACCCGATGCGAACGTTTTCGTTCAGCGGTTTCAACCCCAACGGGCAGATGGCCGCGTTCACCGGCATGTCCGAGTACTCGATGTTCCCCGGGTACGGGCCGCCGTCCCAGGCGGTGCCGTACGGCTACGGGCAGAACGCGTACGGGCCGCCGGACCAGGACTCGTACGGGCCGCCGCCCGCCGGTGACGCCGCCGAGCGACCGGCCGCGGCCGCAGCCGACCTGAACAAGAAGCAGACGTACGACGTGCCGGGAAACCAGCAGCAGCCGCAAGAATACGGGCAGCGGCCCCAGGGACCGCAGAACGGCAGCAGCGCGGAACAGGCGGACAACGGGAAACCGTACAGAGGTGAGTGAGACCGATCGGCTCGACGCACGTGCCCCGTTTTCTCCGCCCCGGAAATCGGCCGCAGTCGAAAACGGTACTTTGATTCACGCACTCCGAGTGGCCTTTCGTTGCTTTGTACCTTTTGAACGCTTTTAAAGCGTAGAGCTTTGACGCTTTACTGTCCGTACGAATTCCCTATATGGTTTCGTTCCGAACACGATCCTCGTTTTATGTTTATCCTCCGGAAACGTCATCACATCGGACACCGATATGATAAATCGCGAAATATCACATGGTTGTGTTACCAAGAGCGTTTTAAAAATGTAACCGTCAAATAAATCAGTTTTTAAGCTAGACCGAACACTGAACAATTTAATTGATGAAATCGTTTTTAACAGTCATGATTGTTTGTAAAATAAAACAATTAAAATTTTTCCCGCGAATTCCTTTGAGCGCGACGCGACTGAGGTTCACGGCTGAAGGGAAACCGTTACCGCGCGCACGTGAACCGCGTTACCGTTACGTATCCCGTTTGGAAAAACGTTCCTCCGGGCCAGTGGCGTACTGTATGAAAATGATTTTCGTGGCGGGCCCGTAGTAGATAGAAACCAGAGAACGGTCTACCACCTGGAGGTTGCTATAGACCAAGGGTGGCAATCGACGCACTCCGGTACGAACAACGTTTTCGTTCGAATCCCTGCTGTCCGTAGTGCGTTGCTACTCCTCGTCACGGATTGAATCACGTCGATTTTCATCGTCGAGCGCGTAACGGTTTTTTCATCCATTCAATACGACTGCTTTTCGTGCACGATCGTGATTCGCTATGAGGTCAATTTAACCCAATCAAGTGGTTTTACCTTCCAAAAAGTATGGGTGAGGCGAATAAAAGGAAAAAGTTTTAATTTAAGCGCATCGAACTTACAATTAACGTAAAGCTATGTACCATGAAGTTTAAAACTCTTTAGGACCGTTTAGGACAAATCGGCTAATATTCTGATTTCTAATGTCTGGAATTTAAATTAAGGGACAATTATCCTAATTTTGTAAATTAATTCACTTAACTGATTAGTATTGCATATCACGAGAGAAATTTCTAAACCGTCAATTTAACTTAAAATTGCTTAACTATTTATTAATTGCCCTGTCAACAATGTATGTACCCGACGTTGTACGCAAACTATGTCGTTAAAGTCTTAACGAATTCATTTGACCGTTGTTACCGATGAAGCGCTTCCGCGTTTTATTACCAACAAGTATATTTACGTACGTACGTGGTATATAAGTCGTATAAGACGTACTGTTTGCTCAAATAACTAATAACAGTTTCGGACTACGACAAAGTTTAAAATATACCCGTGTTTAATCGAACAAACTTAAGGACTTTGATCGCTGATCGCTCTTTGACCATGATACTATGAGATATGTATATACAAATTAATTTTTAAAATTAAATTACTCTCCGTCACAGTTACTGAGATTTCATTGACCGCGTTTGATGCACGAGATCCATTTTTTTCGTCGAATATTTCCGCGGAAACATTTTTCCGGTATATTATTTTGTATATTCTTTGAAATGGTTTAAATAACATTTCGTTTTCTCGGATATTAAGGTTTTCGCTACCCCAAACTAGTAAAATACATCAATGTTCGTGGGCGTGATTTATTTGATGAAGATGCAATATATAATTTGATACGTTACACCGCCGCCGTGTAGAATCTTTCAGTTTATAAATCCAAACGTATAATACTATACGTAAGAAGTGTGTTTCGTTTTCAACGTATGTACTTTATGAAATACCGATAGTATAGATTTCGATATTTTGTGTTCGCAAATTAACTATCCGAAAGAATTTCGATGAATTGTATATAATCGAATCACTACGTACCGCGTATGTTCGTATGTATATACCTAACTGTTGAAAAACTATTATATTAGAAAATAATATAACCTTAAATTAATTTGTATTTCACTCGTGTCTACTTTATAACGAATGATTCGATTATTTTGTAGACAGCCTTTGATCTACACGTCGACATGTGTTACAATTATTAGTCAGAAACCATATTGATAAATTCAATTGCGGTTTTCAATAAACTTGGACGCCGTCGAATGTGAAAACAATACGATTACGATATTCATTATAATAAGAATATTATTATTATAGAAAATAATATAATCATATCGTAGAATAAAATACGTGAGCGGTACCAGTCATACACTTTGAATAGGAAGGTTGTCTTTCATTTATTTTAATTTACTGTGTGACATGACATGTACAGCTACTTATACAGGTCGCTGGCATAAATTCAATATTAGTTCGCGGACGCCCGGTTGAATTCTCAAACCGAACTATACTAAATATCTGTTTAACATTCACGAATCACCGCGATAGAAAAACACAATACATAAATGTAAAATGTGAACATGATTTCAAACAATAATTACTGAACATGTTTACAGTGTAAAAGTGTACAATATTATGTTAATATAATAAACGACACAAGTATAAATATGCAGTTGTAAAACATTTTTTTTTTTTTTTATTAATCACTCGTAACGTTTTTTTTTTAACGTACACGCACGCAGAGCGATTATTCGAATGTTTGGCGTTTATTTTCGCGGCCGATCCTTTTGTTTTCTAAAAGACTTGGACAACCGATTTTTATTTTAACCAAACCGCATCGTACGTTCCAAATTTCATCAAGTTCAAATCGGATACGGAACTTACGGTTGATTATTTAATCGTTCGTAACTCACTTGTTTATCGAGATATAATTACGGTTGTGACTTTCCGGCTCCTTTAACCTAACCATCGAACGCTCGCGAACCATCGATTATTATTCTGACACATCGATACTGGTTCAACGTTATTCGATATACTTTTACGTAAGAAGCGAAGATTCTTATAGACCACGCACCCACATATTTTTTAAATACCCCTTCATACCAAAACGCTCGCATTGCCACTATAAAAAACATTTTGAACAACTAATTTGGATAATTGTTCTCTTATTTTTATACTAAATTAATATTTAAATCCTATAAATACAGTATTTTTCATGGTGATTGATCATTACTTATTCAACATTTTTGATCAATGTTACTGATGTAATTGGTATACGTAAATAAATTGAATACGCTCAATAACAATGAAAAGCTTCATTGTCATAGTACAGTTACATATGCATACTTAATTTGTTCGAGTCTCATAATTTTTTTAACATAAATTAAAATGAACTATTAGCTAAATAAAACTTTATTTTTTAAACAACTGGTAACTATATAATATAGGTAACGTATAAGTGTATAAACGACATGCTATACGTATTACATATGTCATTATATTATTATATGTTTATAGATAGGCATATATGATATTATGTAGTCTGTTGATGTTCGACGATTACAAAAAAAAAACAGTTTTGTTCTAGACCCGTACCGAGCCATTTTTTATCCCGGGGCGGAACTGAAGCAATGCGCCCCCTATGCTATAGGGCTGTTACTCGTACACTCACAGCTTTTAATAAGTATAATACGATTTGGAAAAATCTGAAAAATCGTATTTAGATTTCTAGCAAAACAAGAAACAACATTGATCACCCCCAGCTTCAGGCGCCCATGGCAAGTGCCTCGCTCGCCTCACTATAGTTACGGCTCTGTTTTATTCTTCGTACAAGCAAAAGAGTGCCCACGTAATTATTGACCAACCCCCCCCCCCAAAAAAAAAAAAAAAAAAAAATGTTGATGGGGCGGCCGCTCCTTAAAAACATTGTGAACACGCGTCGCTGACGGGGCGCGTATCGGTACTGTCGGTGTAAACCGTCCGTCTCGCAGCGCCGAGTCGAAAACACGAATTGACGCACGTCAAAATCATGATCGAAACTGTTTGCAGGTCGCGACGGTCCGAGCAGCAACGCGGAGGCTTCGTTCAACGCGTGGTTCCCCATAATGTTCGGAGTGTTCCCCAACGGGGCCAACGGCAACCCCGGCAACTCGGCCGGCCGCGGCGAAGTCAACCAGGGGAGCTCCAACGGCAGCGGCTGGGAGCGGTCGTCGGGCACGACGGTGATCGCGAACAGCGTGAGCAACGGCAGGAACGGCGTGGCCACCAGTCACGCGATCTCGTACGGCAACCCTAGGTCGGCGTCGCAAAAATGAACGCCGTCACGGGGAACGTCCGCGACCAATCGGTCTTAGTAAGAAACCGGTGCAGGATCATTCGTACGGATCCGTTTCCCACGTCCGATTTTTGGATCGCGCCGAACAAGCGTACCGCGTGCGTAAATATATTGTACTCTTTCTATAGTTTCAAATTACAACCATATTTATTTTATAACTGCTGTTGTTGTTGTTGTTTCCCCCCTCCTCCCCACCATCGAAACGTGTACGTAACGCACCGCAAATCCATATTCCTAGGACCAGTGTTGAGACTTATCTAGATAATTATTTAACCATCTTTTATCTTATCTAGATAAATAATTTCATTTTATCTAAAAAAAAAAAAAGGGTAAAAAATTCATCCATCTAGATAAATTTTCGTTTCTATACGAAAAAAGGAATTACATATTTTTATTAACAATTTGTTTTTTTCTTGATTAATGCTTTGAATTTGAATTGTTAAGTCATTTTAGTAAAAAATTGTATGTTCATAATAATATTATATACTAGGTATTATTTATTACTAATCTTTTCGTTAGAGGCCCGGTTAGGTGCTCAAATATAGAGTATACTACCCTAACCCTGACAAGATTCATTGTTATGTTGTGTTGGTGAATCGTCGACCGTCATTATGCCCTACTCTAACACACATATTCAAATGACGCACTGCTTTAAAGTAAGTATAAAAAAAAATTATCTTTCATTTTTATTTTTATACTATTAATATTGATTTAGTTATCTATTATCTTCATCTAGATAACTTTTTGTTATACTATTTTTATCTTTATGTAGATAAAAATGTATTTATCTAATCTCAACACTGCCTAGGACCATAAGAATGAACGGATGACAATTTAATCGTGTAAAACGTACCCGTTGTCTTTGTCCGAGCGAGTAACGTGGTCCCCCCGACCGTTTAAACGTAGCATGGTCAAGGAAGGTTTTCACCACGTAACAAAAATATGTTTTACTTCATTTCGAATGACCTGAAGTATACCGCTTCACTGTCACTACAAGTCATTGGACAGTAATAAACGATAATATTGTGGTTTTAAAAAAAAATTACTTTTTAACAGGTTCATCCCGGTTATTTTCGTTACAATATTAAAATGAATTAAATAACTTTTCTTGTACAACACAATAATATTTGATGATATCGCGAAATAACTTAAAACGTAATTACCTACTTTTAGTTTGCTAAATAATTGCAGTATGTGAGCATTTTGAGCCAACACTGAGCAAAATGAGCGTATAATGTCATCAGTTACTATTTTTTTTTTCTTCTTTGGATCATTCGTGGATTTTAACAATAGTATGTTTAGCTTTCACTAAAAAATCTATTGCTTATTGTACGGGTATTTTTTTCAAGGAATAACACAAATTTGACCTCTTTTTGAATAATAACAAGTTCATATTTCAAATCTTGTAGCTTACCGTATTTTTTTCTTTTTCTTCCATTTTTTTTTTTTTTTTATGGACTATGTAAAGTGGCTTACAGGTTGAATACGCATCTATTTTGATTCACCAGCGGTGACGTCAACTATCAGGGGCGGATTGTTAATTTAGTATAATATAATATATATATATATATATATATATATATAGCATAATATAATTTTTTTCTATTGTTTTGTCTATGACGAGCCTACTTACCCACCTGCCAAACACAAAGGCAATTTGTGGGTCGCCAAAACAAAAATATTAAAAAACACTAGTTTCCTAGGTTGATCATTGAAATATATAATTATACAGTCATACATAATTAATGTATTTCCAATACTATTAGATTTATTTGTAATACGAATGTACACAACTTTTTTGGTTATGAAATTACATTGATAATCTATAGACAATGCACTAAATAGACACATACTTGTTCATATCATGGATGGATTGGGAGCTAAAAAACTATCAAGTTCAAGAATTTAACCGACCTCTACTTCTCAGTGGTCGGAATACAAAATACGATGTTATGCAAATTCATACTAAATAAAATTAATTTTTTTATATAATTGATTAACGTTTCCGTTCAACATAATTACAATAATATACAATTTGTAAGTCACTTATTAAATACCAATGAAGTTTGACTGTTACTGTATTCTAAAAATAGTTTTTTTTTTTTTTTTTTTTGCTACCAAATATAAGCCGTATTTTTACGGTATACGATGGTCAAACACATGCATTTAATTCTATACATTACTGTCCAGATTTAAATTATTCACTTCAAGCGATTATAACGAATTTCAAAATTATTTATTTACATGTAAATTTATTTTTTAACATATCACTCACTTAAAAAGTACACTTTAAGTATATAAAAAATAAATATTTACACGTAATTTTATAACTTAATTATAATATTATCGATTGCATTCGAATTACGTCTCTAGAAAAATAAATGTTATGGCAAATGAATTGCATGGAAGTATCTCTCTCAAAGCACATCCTAGTTGCATCCGCAGTAATTAATAATTGTTATTCCATTTACATTAAAACCAGTTCCAGCAACAGTGATCGTATGACAGTAGAAAATTTTTAAACTATTAAGATTTAAAGTAAAAAAAAAAAAAAAAAACAAATTACGAATTATAGAAGGACAGATATTTTCTTCTCCAGAATATTTAAACTTGGATCATGTTCAGAAGTGATCGTGTTTAAACCAAAAACAAAAATACTAAAATGTATTAATGTAATCACCATAAATGTTATAACAAAAAATTCGATAGTCTTCCGAACATTTAACTTCGAGTCACGTTTCCCCATGACAATAAAATAATAAAATTAATTCAGTTTTATAACATATTAATTGTACGATTAATTTCAATCAGCATCAATCGTTTTGGTTAAAAATGTGTTCAATACCATTAGATATAGTATTAATATCGTCAGAGTACACTCATTCACTGCTCAGTATTCAGATGCTGCATTGTTTCCAAGATCATGTTGTACATAGACACTCCAGGAAAATATTTATTTTTAATAATTTATAACCACATTATGTACTCCTATCATTCGTGATGAAATCGGATTGCAAAATTATATTTTGTTCGAGTTGTGTTCGTGGTTTTCTCACAACTTGTGTACCCGATTCCGTCCCATTCTTTCGGATTGAGGATTATCTATACGATTATGCTATGGCTAAAAATATGTATATTTTTTTAAATTATTTATTAGGTTAATAAATAATTTAAAATAGTATAATTTAAGTGCTATACGGATGCGTAGGAAAATATGTATATCATATTATGATATATACCAGATTATTTTATAATTTTATTAATCCGACTAACTTGTCGAACAATTATTATACCGATACAAAAAAGCTCAATTAAATTAAAAACGGCAAGGAAAATCAAATTTATATATGCATAATATGCATACATAATATTAATATATATTATATATTATATGTTTCCATACAAAAATACATAAAAATATTAAAAATGTATGTTTCTGTAAAGATATCCTTTTATTTAAACCATTTTATGATAACAAATATAAATAAATAACAATTATATTCGAATCACAATTTTATGAAATATCGTAAAATATTTTTTTATATTGTTTGTTTTAGCTCGTTTTAGTACGTTACATATATTCGATTATTCTTTTAGTATACGTTGATTAGAGTTTAATTGAACAATATGTATTGTATGTTTCAAATGATTTTACTCTTCAAATTTTCAATAATTTTTTCGATCATTAAATGTCGACAGTCGACATTATACTGATACATAAATAATCTTATTTGTTCAAGTATAGATGGCTTGGTAAATATTTTTTCCAACTGGTATAAATTGAAGATCATATTTGCCACATAATTTGCCATATAATGCGCTTTGCACAAATAAGGTGATTTTTATTATATTAACATAATTCTATATTCTCGCGGCGATTAAGTTTGAAAACGTTAAGTATGTACATAAATACAAACCTTCTTAAACACTGTATTTATATGTATGATACAGTTCTGTATTGGAGGAAAAATTAAATAAATAAAATATAATTTCCCATTTTACCAACAGTTAAGCTGCGTTTACTCAATAGCGACCGATCTCAAAACGACTTTTATGTCACATCAACGTTTAAGTCCAAGTCAATTCATCATTGCACATAAGACTCTCTTTCGCTTTATGATAGTAATAGTGATAATAATAATAATAATGATAATAATGATAATAAGACGTTTCGATTTTTTTTAGAAGGAAGAAAATAACATTGGCCCGGCAGCATTAAGCGCACAAAAGCGACACAAGCCCTTTTAACTTCTGAGACGCTTTTGTCAGGTATCTCCTGCCGCGCTAAGCTCCACGAAAGAAGAAGAGACAGATGTATATACATACATAAAAGGTGTGTTCTTAATAGACAGATCGAGTCCCTTTAAGCTCCGAGACTTTTTTAAATTATGATCTGCCATCGCCGCCGCGGCAGGTATATACGGACGGGAGGATGGCAACGGTGGCGGAGTCACGCGCTTCTAATTATGAATGCGCGACCGAGGGAGACCGGGTGGGAAGAAAAACGTCGGGTCTGTGAAGGCGGCCGCGAGAGGAGGAAAAGAAAAGAGACGTGGGTTTAGAGCTTTTGTGATGGAAAACGGCGGAAAATATTAACAAGTAAAAGATTTGAACAGACAATGCGCAGGAGAGGCGCCGAAGGGATCAATTATGAAGGAGGATTACTACTATACACTAAAGGATGGGGTTGATGATGAAGAATGTCGTTTAAATTTCATTAATGTCAGTCTCCATTTTTATATATACATAATAAGAATAGGGCGAGAGGTGAAGCGTGCGGGATGACGGGGAAAGGTTGTCGCAGAGGAGAGGATTTTTTCTCCCGCACCGCTACCGTCGTCCGCCCAACGAGATTCTTTTTGCGCGCAATAAGAATTTAAGTCAGCTCCGTACGACAACAACGATATATTAACGACCGTAGATCGTTATATTGGCCATTATAGAAATAAGCCACGTCGTGCGCACCGTCGCCGAAGCCGGCCGAAAAATATAAACATTTCAGTTCTTCTGTCTGAGCATACGCTCAACAATGCGACACCGGGTCGACACCGAAAATAAAACGGATTTGATATCCAAAAGAAACATTACAATAAATATAAAATCAAAGCGGTTCGGAGGGGGGGGGTTATTAATTAAATATTTTGAACCTATCGACATTTCAGTTTGTAACGTTATGTTTGAAGTTGTTCTACATCTTAAATATAATAATTATAACGTGACGTTACTAAACTACACGGTCAAGTGAATTGGAAACGTCAGTTATCTGTCCATTTATCACACACGCAATGAATTTATCGTCAAGTCTACTTTAGGTAGAATTTTTTTTTATTTCTTGTCTCTAAACTCCATGAAATAGAACTTAACAAGTTAGAAATCTAGTAATCAATAAATATAATTTTTTAATAATTATTATTACAACATTTAAAAATGTGATAAAATCTAAAGCAGTTTTTACTACGATTTCAAATCCATTTTCGGATTCCTAATTGCAATACTTGATCGAATGACATAGATTGCAAATATATCTAAATTGTTATTTTGCGTATGTGGGCAAAAGAAAATTCGTAGATTCCAATCCCACTTGATTACTTGTTACATTAATTATTTTACAACATTTCATTACTGAAATCGATGTTCAACAGTCGATATAGGATTAAGTTATAGTTATTCGTGCACAGGTATACATGTAACAGATTCTCCGGGTTAAAATTGGTCAAACTGTTTATTTTAATTTTAAAAAAAGACACATTTTCCTTGGACGATGTGTTTATTTTTACTTAACTTATTTTGATATGAAACGAAGAGAAGTATACACATTGATGTATCTACTCAACCTCTTTAAGACATAAGTCGTTCACAGTCTCGCAGCTTTCACACTAGGATCGTCATTGTGTTTTTGATAATTTTTCCATTTTTTTTAAAATATTCGTGTATGAGATTCATCCAATCATGTAAAAAAAAAAAAAAAATTAAAAAAAACACCTTCATTGCCTATTGTTTCTATTCAAAAATATGTTTCTAACAAAAAAAATTGGGTAAGTGTTGTTATTATTAACTATGGTAAATTTGATATCATTTTTATAGCCATGATTACTTTCTACGTATGTATTTATATTTTCGTTGTAAATGCTTGATCTATCGAAAAAATTGTTCTTCTATTTTATTATCTTATTACCTATTCATTGATTGCTGCTTAATGGTCCATTGGGTGAGTGGGTGGTAGGTGCTAAACTAAAATGATTTGAATCACATTTTTTTTAAAAAATCCCGGCTTCACTATATACATTTATCACCAAACGTATAGGAAAATATAATAAAACATGTTAGAAGATTTTTTTTAATCTGTTCCAAACTAAAACTAATTGAAATAATTACTATACGCTTAACCAGATAAAATAGATCATAAATATACTATCGAACATAAAAACAATTCATCTGCGATTGCACTAATCATTTGTAAACAAACGGTATACAATCAGAATAGCGTACGAATACGTACAAAAAAAAAGTCTCTGAAAATTGTATAATTTTTCTAAAATCTAGATTATAAGATAATTGGACGTAATCTATTACATATTAGGTTTTTACTCATCTCTTAAAGTGTGCACTCGATACACTGATGAAATTCTTATGTAAATATCTGCAATCACGAAATGTATGGTAAATTCCATTACAGTGGAAGATAAATTAAAAGCTGGACGTTAAAAGCCGACCAAGAATAATCGAGTCAAACCCTTTGAATATGATACCAAAGAACGAACGAAGAAAGCACATCAATGTAATGAAATTATCTACGAGTGTCCTTAGACAAAGGCTAATTTAACTACTGAGTGAAACTTCACGACTTCATTATTCATTAAACGAATTATCCAAATTTAGTATGTATATTTTCTTGTAGTTTACATGCGCATCACAATGAGTTGACTAGTTAAAACACGTCATGTTGTAGCACGAAAAAAATTGTTTGTCTTCATTTTTTTTCCTTTCTAAAATTATATTGAATTTTTTTTTAATTTACTCATATTTTTGTACAAATTTATGCTTTATGAAATTGTTATTTATGTTCTTTTATGTATAATATAATTATAGCTTAAATGACTGTTCATCAAAGCTTAACCTTGAGTAAAAAATATGTCTATGATTATGTATTTATATGATTATGAAACAATGTTACAACCAACAGCCGTATAAAAATTATTTATTTATTTTACTTATTTACTTAAAAAATTATAAATAAAATTGAATATTTTTTTTTTTTTTTATGTAACTTCATAGTTGTCATGGCCAAGCAAATCACGATACACAATCATATTTTTATTTCTAAACGTCTGAGGCTTAAATCTAGTCTGATGTTAACACACTTTTGCTTTTCCGATTGCAAATTTAATTTAATTATTTTATATTTTATTTTAATATTTAATTTTGTTTAAACGAGGAAAAGTAAAAATTATATCTAACTTGTTTTTCTTTAAAAATTCAACTTGACAAGCTAAAAAATTGATTAACTTGTGCAATTTTGACTACAAGTAATATTTATAGTTTTTAATTAAAAAAAATAAATAAATAAATAAAAAACCGCTGAACTTAAGATACATTTTTATACGAGCTTGAAAAACAATGTATAATGTGTAATACCATTTTGGGTATATTTTTATTTAAAATGCCTATGCCTTTACTTACAAAATACAAGTATTTTTATAATGTTTTATTAACTCATGAATAAGATTACTTATAAATAATAAATATATATCAAATAAATATTTGATACTTCAATATTTATACTTTTATACGTCTGCATTGTTGTTATATAAACTCGAACCCTTCGAACTTCATATCTGAAACTTTGTTCTGCGGGTAAATAATTTCTCCATCGATTGTGAACACAGATAAATACGTAGCCGTTATGTCACCTTCTTCCGTCGTATTAATCGCAGCGATGACCGTATCATTGGTACCAGGAACGAATTTGAAACTAGCGTAACCTCGATTTGGTATAATTTCGCCAATACGTTTCACCTGAAATCGAAAAATTCACAGCAGTGTTATATTTAAAATATTGGCGAATTTAACGAGGACAAAGAGGCTTATCCCCCCATCGACCTAAGACCTCGTTTAGTTTTGTAATGGTTGTGATGGAAAAATTATTAGTTAAAAACAATTTAATAAAATTTTTTCGAGAACGAGTGTATAAAGTTTTTATAGGTATCGCCAATATGATAAAAGTAATAAACCGACTAACTGATGCAACGACATCGACCATGTCAAATAATCTTATATCTAATGTATAGTTAAAACTTTTTTTTTTTTAATTTAGTTATTTTAAATGATTTGAAAAACTTTGAAAAAACAAAACAAATTTATAGGTCCACCACTGATCTATAATACGAATACAATATCAAATATCGCGTAAGGGTTTGACAATCGACCGCAGCTGTGATGCGTACCGTGACGTCATTGAAATCCGGTGTGGCCATCAGCAGCACGTTGGTTCCCTTATTTTCGTCTGCTTTATATTCGTACTGTTCCGCGGAAGCTTTTCTCGGCAAAAAGAACCATCGGCCGTGCACGTCGCTCCACACGCAAGCCTCGTGAGTCATGTAGCCCGGGTATTGTATGCCCACGGCCGCTCGGACTTTTACGAAGTTTTCCGTCCAGTTCAAATGTTTCACACTGCCGTACTGGTCTATGGTTTTCACCCACATCGACGCGTAGCTCTTTTCCGAGAGTTGGCCGTTGCGGTCAGGCATTTCCTTGCCATGAGAGCCCACGTAAAGTTTCGAATCCTTAACGGTTGCCCATTCGTTTTTCATCGCTGAAAAAACGGAATTGCACGAGTTTTATTTTCCCCGTAGAATTGCGTTGATTATCCGTCGGCTACCAAAGGATGATTTGATTGAAAAACATTATAAATTCCTACGTAGTACATAGTATTTCGATGCGTGTAAACGTAGCACAAATCAAGAATCCTAACAACAGCCTTTTGCGATTAAAAAGCGACAACGGTTCGTGCAAACTAACGCATACAGCGTAAACCTTAATTTTAATGTTAATATTACCGCCTTTCTGATGTCCGTCGCCTTCCACGACAATCACCCACGGTATGAGAACGTTGTTTTCGAACACGTACACCAAGCCAGTTTTATCATCAAGAGTGATCAGTCGCCCGTCGAATGTGACCAACTCGGACAGTTCCAAGCCCCGGCCATTTTTCGACATATCGGATTGGAGTTGATCGTTGTTGTCCACGGCAATATCCCATTCAACGGAGACGGTCTTGTTTTGTGCATTGTAAGTCAACGAGCCCTGTTTGAAATAACTAATCCACGTGTTGGATTTCGAGTGGCTTGTGGAATCAGCGTCCAGGTCACTGATAATCGCTATGCGAAACTTGACGCTGCCATCGGGCATCAATATTGGATCGGTCAGTGGGTATCTTTTATTGATGTATTGCTGAAACAGACGGCAATCAGATGCAGTATCATTTGTTGTAACCGATGATGTAGGTGCGCTGAATACAGTGTCACTGGTTATTGCCACCAAAAATAACAAACTGGTCCACTTAAGGTCCTGAAAAAAAAAAAAAATATTAAGATAAAATTATCTGCATTACAGCTGTTTATCATTGGTATACTATTCATAGTAAACGAACAATAAGCATTTATATTGTTTTATATTTAATATTATATTAACTTGGTCTTGTATTAAAAAATAAAACCCAATTAAACGTATACTATTTCCGTTTGTACATACCATTATTTATTTTATGGTGAACTGCTACTATAAGTAAGCAAGAACTGAAAAATTAATGGAGTCGAATAGCTTATATACTTAATGTATTTCAGAATAACCGTACAGATAACTGATAAATGTACTATTGCATTAAGGTTATCTAATTAGACTAAAGGTAAAATCATTGATTTGCATTTTATTTAATGCAACTTTTTTTTCTATTTTAGTTTTTAATTGTTTTGATACATATTTATTGATTTAATTAAAATTAATATCAGAATAATACATTTGTTTGGAAAACAATAAAAAAAAAAAAAAAAAATTATAATGTATAATGATATGTACTATATTGCATAATCATTTATAATAATTTAATGTCATTTATACATCTATATTGCATTGCACGATAATTACATCTAATTAATATAAAATGTAGAACATAGGCGTGTGCATGGGGCGAGCCCCGGCTTGACCGGAATTTTTTTGGGATAAAATTTAAACTAACCGTAGTAAAATTTCTATATATATATATATATATATTAGGGTGGTCCTTAGTTATAGAGGTTAAAAAAAAATTGAAAAATTTACACTCATGGGCTCGAAATTTTGTTTGGTATATTGACAAGATAATTTTAGTAAAATTTGAATTTGATAAGTCAACCACTTCACGTGCCTCAAAGGGGTTGAAGTTGTATGATAAAAGGGTGAATTATACATTTTCACCTGTAATGTCTTAAATTCTAAATTTAGACCATACATGTATAGGACTATTTTTATAGTAATGAATATTTACTACATAAAAGGTATCTTGTAAATTTTTTGTAAAATTAATACTTTTTCGTAAAATTAAGAAAAACCAGTCAAAGTCAATATTTTTGGAAAATGGTTATTTTTAGTTATTTATCTGTATTTCCTTAAATTTTATAGCTACACAAAAATTGTAAATTAGCAATATTATTCCACACAATATTATCTATAAAAAGTAAGTTTTAATTTTTTTTGGTACATTAACCTTTTTGTAAATAATCAAGAAAAACCTTAAGAATATAGGTTTTTACAATTTTTTATTTATTTAAATATGTTAATTTTTTAAATATTGTATTCATGTTACACAATATATTAATCAAATTTAATTTTAAGTTTATTCATTAAATATTAAAAAATAATATTAATTATGTATTATTAATAGGCATAAGTTTTCTTTGAAATCTCACGGCTAAACCCTGGATATTGTTGGCGATATTCTCGAATAACCTAAAAAAGTTACATGTATTTATATTATTTGATATAGGTAAAATATCACAAGATTATATAAATATTTCATACTTGTAAAATAAATTGTTTTTGATCTTCATTTTTAGTGAATTTTTCATTATATTCCTCCATCAATTTTACTCCACGTTCAGCTGTATCGTTAACGACTTTTAGTGCAGATAATATTTCTTTAGCTTGTATATACTCATCCAAGGCTTTCCATGTGCTTGGATCTTCTCGTAAAAAGTTAAAAGATATTTTAAATCGTTGAAATAATTTCCATGATTTATTATTAAGCAGGGCAAATGGAAGATCTTCATTAACAAAATTTGATACGAGTACATCGTCAAATTGTACGTTAATTTTTTTATTTGAACCTTCATTTTCTTCTTCGTTTATATTTTATTCGTATCCTTGCAAAATTTTATTTGCCATTCGATGTTTAGTATTGTAGTCAACTCGGTCATAAAATAATGAAAACATAGCACATTCTTCATTCAAATACCACAAGTGGTTTATAAATTTTTTTAAAGCGACTTCTCCCAATTTATCATTGTTATAATTCAATAACTTTTTTAAAAACATAATATCATTTATAGGAGCGGTAATAATATCTGGAGCCGAAATCCACACTTGAATATAACGTTCAACTATAAAACTACATATATCTTCCAGTGACTTATATACTTATATACTTATAGCTTTTGACATCCATCGAGCTAAGTGATAAGCACCTGGCTGACGAAATCGTATACCATTTGGAGGTATTCCTTCTAAAAATATTAAAACTAGCTGTATAAACTCCTTATAATCATCTCTCGGAAAGTGATTTTTAAGTTTGTCTACACAAAATAAAACAATTTCATCTGTAACAGCTTTTAAATTTTTATTTAAACTAGGAAATGTTGAATATATTCTAAAGTTATTTAAATCTAAATTTTTCCAATTATTTTTGAAACGCTTAAATAGAGGTATATCTGGACCAAATATAACAGTAATTCTGGTATAAACGAAAATTGCTTGTAGGACAATCTCAAAAATATGATGGCGGCACACAAAAAATAAAATATTACGATTTAATAATTGTTCTAAAAGAACACATGATCCGTTTAATCGACCGCTGTTAGACGCGGTAGTATCGAATACAAACGCCTGGACTTTATCTTCCACACACCATTCTTGTAATGTGTTGTGCACAGCAGAACAAATATCTTTTCCAGTACCTGAGATCAATGGAGGGATTTCTAAAAGTTTTTCTATATTTGGTGCCGTAACAATTATAGGAAGTTGTTCTATATTTTTTCTGTTTAATAAATCTGGAAGTCATTTGGAGTCCCAGTGTAATATAACAAAATTTAGGTCAAGATTTAAAAAGTTAGTTTTAACTGTCTCCGATGTTTGTTTACGTATATTTTCTCGAGCTTTTTTTATACTTGTCCTATTTATCACAAATTCAGAACAATTTACCTGGAAACATTCTGCTATTGCTGTTAATAAATGTACAGTATCCCGATCACTGATTTTGCATTTATCAAGAACTGCTGCTAAACGAGGTGTTATAATGTTTTGTTTTGCACGTGTTGGTTTTGAAGGCCTAGGAATATCATGTATGTCAACGGTTTCCTCTATATCTATATCTGTATCTATATCTTCGCATTCGGAATTCGAACTGCTAAAATCCTGAACTTCATCTAAAACTAAAATAGTTTGAATAAAATGGTTGTCAATACATAGAATACCGCCGTATGTATATTATATTATAATTAAAAATTACCTGTGAAATTGTCTGTTTCCTTCTGCTGTATATTTTTTATTTTTTCTTCTTCTTCTTGTCGACATATTTTACGATTTTCGACACCCGTCAATTTCATATCTATACCAAGCTTACACCCTGGACGCCCTTTTTGGCGTTGTTTTAATAAAAACTGTTTATCTTCTTAAATTTTTATTGTATTCAAAGCGTTTGCATGAGCAATATCAAAAATATCGTCTAATTCTTTTAAAAATATTTTATTACGTTTTTCTTATGTGTCTATTTTTCTTGATTTATTTTTATCCAATGATCTCCAATACTCATATAACTTTTTTAATTTAGTCGCACAGTCGGAAGAATACTGCGTAGGAATACGCGCTTTTCTCCAAAAAACCATACATTCATCGATCACCAGATGTGAACTTTCATTTAAATTTAATTTGACGAATCGCATATTGTAAAATAAAACACTTAGGCAATCTCTTTTTGATGGTAATTTAGAGCCAGTAATTTGGTTTTTCATAGTTCCAATTAAAAATAATTGTTGTCTAGGCATTTTATTATTATTTTATAAATTATCCTTAAAGTTAAACGTAAATAAAATAATATGTAAATAATCCAACTATTAAGTACACACGAATAATATGAAGGAAAGAAACCAATTAAATCTATTTCAACTTATTATTTGGACTTTATTTAATTGTCTGTTTTATACGGTAGGTAGCAGTCTTGTAAAAAATACTTTTGAAAAAGTATTAAAATACCAATACTAGTATTCGAATAAAATAGTATTAAAAATACTTATGAAATACTATTATAAAAATGTATTTCACGAATACTCACTAAGTATTTGAATACAAATACAAGTATTTTTTTTAATTTTATATTATATAATATTATAGTTAACCCCCCCCCCCCCCAATAGAAAAAATTGTGTCTATGCCACTGATTATATATCAGTTTAGGTACCTATATTATTATATTATGATACTAATTACTATAGATTTAACAATTTGAAAAATACAAAACATATCTGACTATTTAGAGGTCATGTTCACATATTTCATTCACATATTATATATATCTACTAGTATTAATACAATTAAATGACAAAAAAATAAATAAAAAATGGTATTAACTGTTAATATAGAACTATTTGAAAAAATTTCTTTAAAAATTACAGTAATAAACCCATATAAAATTGGATGTAGCATTTTTTAAATTTTTAACATTGTTATATATTACTTTTTCTGTTATACAATTTTTTTGTATTTATAAATTGAATCTCATTAATATAATGCTTTCTTTTTATATAATTATATTATAATATAACCTAGATAATGAGATAAAAATTTATCTTTGATACTCTATATTCATGAAATTAATAAACATGAAATTACATTTTTAGAGTTAAAACTTAAAGATTAAGCCGATAAAATTATTTTACATTTATACAGGTATGGTTAAAAACAAATTACTTTTTAGAAAATAAATATTACCAATTGTAATTACAATATAAATAATAACCATTGCATATTTTAATAAATTATTTACATTACTATTTATTGATATTTATCACAACCTATAACAATTAATACTTATTAATATAAAATTAAGCAAAATAATATTTAAAAAAAAATATATGATAGAATTAAAACGGTTTGAAATTTAACAGTTTTAAAATTAGAAATATTAAAATAATAACTTATTATTTTATTACTTATTAGATTCATCAATAATAACCGATTATTATTCTTAGAAGTAGGAACAATTATTAGGATAGAGAATTATTATGATTATACAATTATTAAAACGAACTTTGTGGTATTTAAATACAAGTATTTACAAATTGTTAAAAATACTTTTAAAAAGTATTCAAAATACTTAAAAAATACTTCAAAAAGTATTTTAATACATGTATTCAAATACCTGTATTCGAATACTTTACAAGACTGTAGGTAGTATAATAATAAAATATAATATTATCTACACAAGGGCGATAACAATACGTTATCTATACTTTTCAATTCTAAAGTTTATTATCTTAAATCTATATTTTATTATTATCAAAATTATATAATTAGGTTAGGTATATGTTTAATGTGATTCGTGTTTAATAAAA